ACACTTGAGGTGCCAAACCAGAGCTGCTTCGTGTGCATAGTATGACTCAAACAAAGAGAGAAAAAAAACATCCTTCTGGGTACACTTACAAGACGAGTTAAGTGCTTGAAAGCGGTTGGGAACAGATGAGCAGATGTCTGCCAAAGTGACTATAAGTTTGTTAGCCCTGAAGACAATCATATTGTAGAGGTACTAAATGTGTAAAGCTATACAGAATAATGGTATGGACTGAGCCGAGGCTTTTGCTGCACAAGGACAGGCTGAAGGAGTGTGTTCTTGAACGGACAGAGAGAGGGATTGATGGCAAAACAGAAACTCAACAAGGAATGAAACAATTCAAAGCATGTGAAGGTCACTAGCTGCTATGCTGAACAAGACTTTGTGTTGGGAACAACTGCATGGGGGAAACGAAGGTGATTTATGTGCGTTGCGCAAATCGTGCAGGGGTAAAGCAGCTGGGTTGTATGTGTTGTGCAAATCGTGCAGGGGCTGATTGAGCTGCAAAGCAGACTTCGGACCAAGCCAAGAGCAAGATGGAAGACTGAGGTCATAAAACTGTTATGGGGTATAGCTGATGCCGGCACTTGCAGACTTCGATATACCAAGACGTGATCTGAAACCGTCTCTCAGGCTTGAAATGGCAACCTGCAGGGCAGCAGCTTGCCCTGCAGCTCTGACGGAACAAGACGACTCGGCGTGCCAGTACCTATGAAACCCCCTGGCTGCCAAAGAACGCCTGAAAGTATGATGCTTCGACTGATTGCGAGATGCGGATCTGGACATAAGGGCAGTAATGCCCGGCTGGGACTCACATCCTATCCACCGCCAGACGGTCGCCAGGGAAGGATAGCGGAGAGCGAACGAAAACAAGTCACCAAGATGCACAGGAGCAAAATTTACTTACCGAATCGAATAAGGATCCAACAGAGAGGAAGGAGTTCAGGAATGTAGGTATCCAGACTCCGGGAAAGCAGACGCTGTCTTGGCTCTACCAATGCTCGAAGGAGAACACAGCAATTCAAGGAATCAACGACACGAAGAACGTCGCTGGTGTAACAAGCCTGGGACAAGTTAGCATATTGCTTCCGACAGTTGCTATTAGTGTCTTGAAATTCATAGGGACGCTGCAGTCTGGCAAGATAACACCGCAAAAATAACCCAGAACCAGTCCGTTGGTCCATAGCTATCGAAAACTTCAGCCGCGTGGTGAATCTTCGGCCACGGAGTCCCAAACGTAGCATGTTGCGCGCTGTGCGCTTCACAGCAGATGTTTCGCTTCAGGTTGCGTCGGCCTTTGCTCGCTTGCTGATTCTGTCTGGAAAGCACCTGGAGAGTGCCGGAATGTCGATTTGCATGCCATGCTCCATAAGGGCGCCCGGCAAATGGTTTATGGCAATGAGGAGTTCACTCGCATGGCCAATTTGCCCGCAAGGACCTAGGATGTCCATGCCGTCATGAACCGGTGTTTGGGACGGTGCTCGAGCTCCACAAACGCACGACGGCTTGTCTTTTTCAATTCAGCAACGCGCCTGCGTCTTCGAACGCGATATGTGCTAGCCTGGGGAATGGCGACCAGTCGGAAGTCTTGACAAGCCTTGTTGGGAGGCTTTAGACGCCTTTCCGCGAATCATGCCATGCCGCCAGAACAACGCTGATTTCCCGTGTCAGGAATGAAGTTTTCATCCGTCTCTTGCCCGGCACGTGTCCCAACTCTCACAGTCGTATATATCGCAATCGAAATCGTCCGTTGGCATGAGGCCGCTGGTAACAACAGTCTCGCCGTATGTTTCGAAGACAGGCTCGTCCATCGATTCCATTGGGACGGCCTATTCCGCGTTCCGGCCAGTTCTGAACCCCTTTCTTGTTCTCGTCCACTAAGTGCCTCCCTCTGATCCATCGTTGAAGCTGTTCCGATGGAGCTACCCCTTCCGTCGAAGCCTATGACGTGCACCGGAGATGTAAAGGCGATGAGAACGATATTAGATGCCTCAGCAGGAAGCATTGCCTTGTTCGGACCGCGTGTGGTTTCGAGGATGCTGCCCGGAGTTCCCGGTTTGGCCGTCCAAGTTTTGGGATCCAGGGGTGCGGGTTATACAGTGCCAGACATACAATCCACGTCCCCCTATTATTGGGAAATCAAGGAAAAGGCTACGGAACTCACTTGCAAGCAATCAATTGAAGTTGGGGCACTGGGCCTTGGTAATCGTTCTATTCGTCCGAGGAGGATTCCGTCGAAACTCGAAACAAAAGAGGCAGAAAACTGCAAATGTCCGGACCAACTCCTGCAAAAGAAGAGCGATCTAGCTATTGACCAAACAGAGAGACACCCGCGGGGTCGTTAAACAAGCGCGCGTGTTCGGGGTAAGGATCGCGAGAACTAGGTAAGCTGCGAAGAAAATGGGTTCTCTGTCTGAGCTGTCGTGGAGCAAGCGGACTTGATGGAGGGGTCTTGGTGTGTGGAGATGCTTTTTTTTTCGAAACAAGAACGACTGCAACGACTCGACAGCAAAAAACAACACAAATGATGCTTTCTGAAATCGCAAAAGCGCGGGAGGGTGATGTTCGGGACGAAAGAAAAAAGATTCAACGAGCCGGACGAGAAAAGGTGCGTTGAAGGAAAAGGGAAGAGGAGGAGAGAGAGAGAGGAGACCGGGGACGGACGCGAGAAGAATGGACAAGAATGACCCAAGACACTCTCTTTCACACAGTTTGCGCGCTGACACCGTAAGTCGAAGTGGAGGAGGAAAGAGCAAGCAAAAAAGGTGGAGTGGACTTGTGGGCTCCCGAACATCAGAAACTGGGAAGGCGGAAGCGTAACCACTCAGCGGGGCTTACCGTCCCTGCCCTGTCCGGACAGAGTGTGTATGTAAGACACCGTACGCCTCTGCCGTCCAGCTATCGCTACAGTACGCAGCTTCCATCAAGCCGAGAACAAGCCCGTCAACATCAATTCCTCTGTGGCAAGTTCAATTCGCATTGGCTTTTGCAGATGACAGCAGTCAGACAAGTTGACCAAGCTGTATCGGGACGCAACAGCGACGGTTGAGCTCCCAGTCGAGATGTTGTTCGCTGACGCATGTGCCCCAAAACAATTCCCCTACCACACAGAAAGATCCCAACGCGGAGCCAGCCATAGGCAAAACGCCCACTCCAGCTAACTATTAGCCTAGCAATAGCTCTCGAAAAAGGACGAGTTGGGCTCGGATGGGGTGTGTCCATGATTCGGACGGAAAAAGAAAAGGAAGGATTTTTCGCAAGCCCAGTGGAGCTGGAGGGGTATAAGTCAAAACAGGGGGTACGTCCATAACCGAAGCTTGAAGCAGGTACCGTAGTACTCAGGTCACTGGTATGACGGACAGCAGAAAACAGAAGCTGCTCTCAGATGTTTTACATGGCTTCAACAGTAATAATTACACCCAACGCGGCACGCGATCGTTCAAATACATTTGATTGCTTCTCTTGTTTCATCTTGACGGTACCCGCCAATGTGAATCAAGATCCGATAACATGAGTTTGGCTCTCGACAGGCATCAAGACAATCCAAAACTCCAAGAGTGCTGCACTAGCGTCTGCGTATCGGCTGCTTGGGCTTCGGTCATGGACAAGACGACGAAACCGCAAGCGACCGTTATTCGAAGCACCAAGCCGCCCAGGAGGGATATACTATGTCCTCCGCATCAAATGCTTGTCTGTACTTCAAGCATCTTAATAGTCTCAACAATCTAGAACGTGCATTGTCTGGGGCAGTGCTTCCCGCAACCACGTCCAACTTCCATGTGACAAACGAGCTCTCATCGAATTAGACTTCCTGTGAACCGTCCCCAAAAGGGGATGAGAAAGCGCTCGCAGGTTTCGTTCCATCCAGCAACATGCATTCATTCGTATGCGCGCATAAGGTACAGCATAACGGGCAAGCCTCAAGCTTGCCGAGCAAACAGCTGTCGTCATACCTCGACCAGGTTTGCGTCAGTCGCGTGGAAAGCGCATGTCTAGCGGTAGCTCTCCACCGTCCAAGATGCCTGCTGCACCACTGCAAAGCCGTGAGAAGGCCCTGAGAGTCTTGAGCACACCTTTTTCCTGGAAGACCCAAGGTGTATTGAGGCCGGAACCTGCATTTATTGTACGATTGACCATACGAATACCTACCAATGAAGTCGGTACGGGTGTCGGAATTGGCAGCGACAAGAAGTCAATGTCGCGTTCGTTGGCCCCGGAAAACGTGTTGATCGACGACATCCCTGTCGTCCACACCCTCCTCACCTTCACACCCTCTCGTCCGCTACGACCATGAATCCATCCAACCATCCAGCTGTCACAACTCACAATCACCATCTCTTGCACTTGCAATAAACGCTTGCGTCTTGGCTAATCAGCATTGGTTGCATAGGGCATCTGTTTAGCTCCAGAATTCTAGCTAGGATTCCAGGTCGTCGTTGTAGTCGGCAACGACTCGTTTCCCTCGGAAAAGTTTTCTAGACAAAGCTCAAATGTGTCAAGCCTTCTAGCCCACGACTCAGGATGCCGAAGCAGAGAGTTCATGATCAACAAGCTCGCATGTTTAATCTTGGGTGTGAAGCTATCGACCTCGCTTGGCCGCCCAAACCCAGCAGCAAGACATCATATCAATCGGAATAAGACATTGCAATATGACGATCAGGGACAGATCCATGATCCATCTGTTTTCTTATTGCACTGAAAACGACTTGCTGCGTACGAAGAGGAGAGCAACGCACCAAAAGAAATAGTGTGGCACTCCCTTGCGTCTCTCTATCTTGCAGATCTCACACCAACAAATCGAGACCAAGTGGTTCCTCCTCGGCATGTGGGCTTCGGAGCTGCCGGCATTTGCACCACGGGCTCCGCAAAATCCCAGCTTTCCCGTCCTTTTGTGCGCAGCCTCCACGACTCGCGAACGGGCAATGTCACTCCAGATCGCGGCCAAAGCTGACATTGCTTATGGTCTATGCTAAACATACCGTCCTCAACAACAACTCTTGGTCGGTTGTATAGTGTAGCGGTTATCACGTCGGATTCTGATTCCGGAGATCCCGGTTCGATTCCGGGTACGACCTCACCCTTTTTCGCGCACATGCAAACGCATGTCCGTTGCTTTTTGCTGCTGTTGTCGTCGACAAAGCCTGCATTTTGGCTACGTGGCCAAGCGACTACCTGCTAGTTATACTCGCTCGTCGTATCTGCTGATGTCTCTGCAGATCTGGACGGATGACCATGCTTTGGTGTACTTGGTCTTCACGCACAAGCGTACTCTCGGCTCGTTGACCTTCGGCACCGTATCTCTTCTTAAGCTGCATTTCTGGTAAGCCACAAGCAAGCAAGCAAGCACAATACAGCTGTTTTGCCACATGCTTGCCCTCACTGTCAGCTTCTCACACACTGTTCTTCCCTCCCTTTGCCCGGATCTGCTTCTTGTATGCTACATTCTGTTTCCTGCACAACAACTGGTGAGATGGCCGAGCGGTCTAAGGCGCTACGTTAAGGTCTTCAAAACCTTAAAACATCTGTTATCCGTAGTCCGAAAGGGCGTGGGTTCGAATCCCACTCTCATCATCCATTTTGCCCTTCCCCATCACCGCGAAACAAACGTGCTTGTGGTTATTACTCTTTTGTTCCTGTACTCCTGAGAGAGGGCTGCTGTTATGTATGTTCCGGAGGGAAGCCTGTCCAGGTCCTGATGCGCCTTGGATTACGGACGCTCGTGTATGTGCCTATGCAGGCCATCGTACCTGCAGTCCGGTAGAACCAGGGCATGTATCACAGTCATTGTGCCTTGCAGCACCAGATGTCCGCCTTAGTTGGGTGACGAACCGCGGCTTACAGGAGACTAGAAGAACCTATCCCTATGCCGCTGTTGATATGGCTTAATGAGGGCGGAAGATCCCGTCCGGAGCACAACCCTCACACGAACAGCTCAAGCATCCTTCCATCCAAGCCGGCAATTACCGGAAGGTCTTCCAGAGCACCGTCACCACACACACTCGGCCTAGTCCTAACCACTGCAGCTTCTCAGAGTGCTCAAAGTCTGGTTCGTCATGAGAACGTTCAACGTACGGCGTTGAGGGCCTTCTTTCTGTTAATTGCACTGCACGGATATGTTCTACATCTGGATGTTCGAGCTGATACTGCTTCACTGATCTGTTCCCTGGATGTGACGGAAGAAGGAGCCCTCATTTCAGCGGTTCACTGTTCTTACTTAGCTCCAAAAGTTCATATACAGGTGCCTCAGCCCATAACCATTCGCTGAATGATTACACTTTGTTGTTGTGACGGCTTATTTAAAACGGCAGATAGGTTCGTTGGGTATTTTAGACTGGTCAGTACTGGTGTGAGGCAGTTGTGTATACAAGGTACCTGTTGAAAAAGCTTCCAACGCGAAAGATATCTCTTGTCCAAGAGCTGTGATGTCGCAGGAGCAGATATACATGTGCATACCGCCTAGTCCAACATGGCAAGTGTTGACCCGGCTGAGATGTGGTCACGAACGAACGAAGCAAGAGCACAGGACGTGGGAGAATTCTTCGAGGACCACGCCTATGCTGCTACTCGTCGCCACTTTTAGGTCACCCCCAACTATTGGCACTCAACGTGTATTTTGAACGCTTCAGTGCAAAGAATCATGGCATGCAGTTGACCTATCAACATAAACCGGCGCCCTGGGGATTGTTTAACTACCATCATCTTTATCTTGACGTAAACGCAGGTCTAATCCCTTCATAGCGAACGATCAGCATCTCGCATTTCCCATTGCGGTGTACCAGCGTCGTCTCATCGCTATCTGTATCACAAACCAGGCCGCGCAAAAAGGTCCATTACCATGCCCTCTGCCTCCTGTGAAAACGCCTCTATTCCTTCCAGCAAGCCATGCGTTGGTCTTTCCGGACCTGTCCACCCAAGAAGGAGGTCTGGCATACAAATGAAATGACTAGTTCTATTCGATGAATTCGACCATGACTGTAGCCTGCTTCAATCCCGCCTCTTCTATACCCTGGTCCAGCATTTCGATCAGGTCTTTTCCGCCCGGCATGGTCTTCAGCTCGAACTCCATACCCTCTTTACCTTCCAGAGGCTCAGCCTTGAGCCACTCGTAGATACGTTGCACCGGGTCGTTGACGTTGAATCGTCGGATGATGCGGCCGCTGGGGTGACGGAACTGTATACGAGTTGTTGAGGCCGGATCGGTAGGTTCGGTGTGTGGCCTGTCCGAGGGTATCTTGGAGAAAGCGGACGCTTCATGTGCCGGTGCAGCCGCCTCGGACTCCTCGCCCTGGGCGAGGTCGCCAACCGACTTTGTCAGCTCGTCGGGGTCTTGTAGGTCCGGTGTTGCTAGTGATCCGCCATTGCTCTCCATGCTGTTCTTCAATGCCATCTCAAGCATTTCCTCCTCCGTCATACGGTCAACATCGACGACGCGTTCCTGGCGCTTCGCCTTGACGACCGGGTTCTTGGCTGTGGGATCTAGACTGTACCGATCAAGGAATTCAGCCAGCTGGGCATGGAATTCGAGCGGAGAAGGGAACGGTATGCCACTCCACGTCTTGACCTGCTCGCCGGTTCTCGGATCGACAATGCTGACATGCGGATAATTGTTCGGGTTCTCGTGGCTTTGGTTCGGGAAGTAGAACTGGATGAACTCTTGCGCTCGAGGGTCATCCTTCGAATATTGCAGGAAGACAAAGTTCTCTCGCACCAGCGACTTGATAGCCTCATCTTTCCAGATGTCTCTGTTCAAGGCTTGACAGTTGAAGTCTGTCATGTCCTGCAGATTGACCAGAATCCACTTCTGCTCTGCCTTGCCCTCATCGCGGGCCTCATCCCATGTAAGGTCGGCCATTAGGTCGAACGGTGGTCGGAACAACTCTGCTAGGCGTGCGGCTCTGCCGGTCGGCGCCGAAGAGCTACCTCGTGAAGAACCAGGTTCGGGTGTGTCGGGTGTCGGCGCGCCTGCGTCCCATATGGTCTGAGCAAAAGGATTGTTGCGGCCGCCACGTCGCGCTGTGGGATAAAGAGGTCAGTTCATGTTGGGCAAGGCAACCACGGGGGAATTGGAGTGTGACATACCTGCTCCAGCAGCCCGCTGCCGTGCTCTGAACTGCTCCAGCATCTGCGCATGATCATCCTCGTCCGGCGTCCAGGCCGCACTAGGCGCCACCAACGTCTCAGTGACCCGTGCTATAGGCGCTCTCACATCATCGTCAGCCAGCCCTCCGGCACCACCGCCACTTCCCCCTCCATACATCTCTTCTTGTAATCTCTTGGCCATGGCAGCATCCTCCTCTTCCTGAGCGGACTGTGCTACCCGGTTGGGGTCAAACATCTCTACATCTTCGTCATCGTCGCTATCAATGTGAATAACACCGCTAGCGTCTTCGTGACCGATGTTCGCTCGAGGTCTGGTGGAGGTAGGAATTGGTGGCGCTGCTGAGGACGGGTTGGTTAGGCTTCTTTGCAGCTCCTCGTCGTTGAACCATAGCTGAATAGCTTGCATCAGGTCGTCGCCACACATCTCCAGCACCTGGCGGGCGGCTGCCTCTGGGGCGCCAGTGATGCCCACGAATTGGACGATGTTGTCGTCCATTTTAGGAGTTTGGGTTCGCTCTCGGGGATCGGTTCGATGTTGGGATTGTGAGAGTTGAATGCGATTGAAAATGTGCGCGTCGACAGCGCTGGAGGTAGTGGAGAATCTTGAAGACGAAAGAGCAACAGGACCACAGCTAGCAAATGAGGATAGGGTGATCGTTGAACGACAAGGCGACTTCAAAAAGTGTTCCTGGGCAAGTCGCACCTGAATGAGCAGGTAAAATGACTACAACCTCGAGTACGGTTGCAGTAAATAAGGAGATGGAAAAGATGAAGTTGCAGGCAGCTGTTCAATCTGGAACAGGTTCACTCGTTCGTTGTCGCTTCACATCAACCTAGTCAAAGGATCACCAGTTCTGAGAAGTTCTAGGTACAGGAGCTTCAAGGCGGTCACTTGTGACGCAAGAGGGTTGGGTACGAAGGTACCTCAAGAACCCCGCCGTCATCAGAAGCAACACACCTGTCGGCCTTTTTCTGCTGACTAAGACTGCTTAATGGCGAACAAATGTGCCTGAAAGTTATGCCAGCTTATGCACGCTTACCCTACAGCAGAGTACTTTTGCAAGGTCTGAAGGCACACATGTTCGCCAACATCTCCTTCAGGGCAAATCATGAGAGACAGACACAAAGGATTCATTCTGTACTACAGTGCTGAATAAATCTTGATGTCGAGACAAGAGCAGTTCCATGTTTCTGCAATGGATATCAAATAATAGCTAGTTCGGCTCCTTTTGTGGTCAGAGGCAATACTGAAAAGATGTTACAAGTAAGACATAATCTATCCTTCTGATTCTCAAGTTCTAATCTCATAGCCAAAACGCTGTACCAATAACAAATACGCTACAGACACCAAGTGATATCTAAAACAGCAGCCCACAGACTCCATAGACGTTGCAAAACCTGAACCTTCGATCGTATCATCCCATGTCCCTGTCCTGGTCCTCCGACGTGACCGTATGACCTATAAGTCTTGCCACCCCCTACGCTCCTACGCAGATCCGCTCTATTGAAGAATGGTCAAACACGACTGCCACTTCTTCTTGACCTCCGGTGACCTCTCCTCCTCCACCGCCTGCTGGATGCTACCCAGCATTGCATCTCGGAAATGCCACTTGTCCCCCGTAGGCACGTCTCTCCACACCGTGCACAAAGCCAAGGCAGCTTTTGCTCTCGCCAGTCTCTGCTGTTCCGTTCCCAGCTGGTTGTTATCGAGATCCAGCGTCTTAGCCAGCCATAGTAGCGTAGCCACGCCCTCACTGGTGGTAGAGCCACCTTCTACTTGAGCCTTCGAAGCTTCCTCCAGTAACTCGGCTACGCAGTTGTACCAGTATGCGCGGCGAACAGGTTCCAGTGGTGGTCTGGCTAAGATGGGATTCTGCTGAGTGGCAGCAGGCGTCTTGCCCTGTCCCTCCACAGCCATGATGATTCGGCTGAGCTCCGCTATGGGATCCCGCCCCTGGTTTGGTCTGTTGTATCC